GACGCTTAATTACGAATAGATCTTAAAAATTCTGTTTATTGAATGTCATTATTAATAAACAAAAATTAATCAAAGAAAACAACAGTTTCGCTACCGCGATCGAGAATCCTGAACTACAGCATAGGATTTCCGTACATTATAATTGCGTCACGATCACATTCTTAGAAATTATTAAGTATAGTTGTCCCTACAATGGCATATTATATTACCGTGATCAGAATGACAAGATTTATCAGTATGTAAAGTTTGAGGCAAATTGATATCTCGAAGGTCTTGTACTCTCCTTGGTAGAGACATACGAAGAGATATTCACTTTTTTCTTACAGGCAAAAGCTTTTCTAGTATACGTATAGAAAGTGTATACTGATTGCGCTTGCAATCTCGATATAAAAATTTTAATGTATGTTACAATGAAGCCTTCAAATGTAATGTAAAAGTGTAAATGCACCGTATTTAGATATTTATTCTATCTCGATAATAATTTATGCAAGTGTAGTAAATTATAGTATACAATACATTAAGTAAATGAGAAAGAAACATATTGCCAAAAATATATTCAGGTTTAATTGTTTTATTTTAGTACTTCACTATTGCAATTTGTTACCTGTTATATTATTTCAAGCAGAGTCAACGTTTTCTTTTTTTTCTTAATATGCAGATTCAGAAGGTCAGGTGAAGATTTAAAAACTTACCACGTTTGCATTGTGTGTCAGTTTGCATGTTTCCAGAAATGATTCTGATTTACAAACAATCCTTTGCCAACGTTGCATATCTTCAAGAGCGGTAATAAGTGTAGTAACACGCGGCCGTGTGTATATAGCAATTTCACGCAATCAAATTATTTAAAAAATGTAAATCAGATTCTGGGGCATATTATAAGAAGAGATATAGACTGAAACGGTGTCGTAAAATTAATTTTATAACAGATAATTATTGTAAAATCAATCTGTTTTTGGAAATTTTTGATAGTTGTACAATAACATGAAAAAATGGTAATTCTTTGTGGAAAGCTAGTAAAGAGATGGTTTTGAAAGAAAAACACGAAGTAAATTTTTAATAGAAAAAGATTTTAATTTTTCAATTATAAAATTGTAGAAAGTAATATAAGTCACCGTGATAACTGGACTTACACTGAATGTTCGGATTGCACAGTATTGTTTATAAATACGATACGTGTTATATGTCGCTCGAAGAACAATAATATTGCCGTAACAGTATAGGAACGCAACGGACCTTTAAACTTGATTTTTTTGAAAACTAAACCAATAATCGACGAATTGTACTGTATATTTCTGTCTTATTTTTCCATAAAGAATCACGTCCTGTTCGGCACGAC